TATTGTGGTACAGTGGTGCCCCAAAGGTACCAAATTCAATCCTTTTAACCATACTATTCTTTGGATTTTTCTTACACTTTTGATTATTAATAGGCTAAAATTTAACAATTATACCTGAATATTGTATAGTTTTCGGTTGGTTGGTGGCATCATTAAATTTTAGTTAGAAAGATCAAACACGTTGATCACTTGAGTGATCACCTAATCAAAACATATTAAAATGAGTTTTTCAATTATAACAACCTATCATTATTTCGATGCTGGCACAAAAAAATATTCTTTTAAACAAAAAGTCCTATATTGTGGCTCTCTCTCCCGACTTACTTTTCTACCAAAACATAAGCATCAAAGCTTGACTCTCTTTTTCTCTCCCATGGAATCAAAGAAGAAGCAAGTCTCGTTGGAATTACTTCCATGGTTAGTTGTTCACACCGATGGAACAATAGAGAGACTAGCGGGAACCGAAGTTTGTCCTCCTGGTTTAGATCAAGAAACCGGAGTTTTCTCTAAAGATATCATCATCGAACCGAAAACCGGTTTATCTGCCCGAATCTATCGACCCTTCTCGATTCAAACCGATCATAAACTTCCTCTCGTGCTCTATTTTCATGGCGGTGCATTTCTCATCTCCTCCGCTTCCTTTCCTTGTTACCACACCAGTCTTAACAAATTTGTCAATCAGGCTAACGTCATCGCCGTCTCTGTCAATTACAGGTAAGCAATCCGATTTAAGTTGACTTATTTAACCAATTTTATATGATCGGGTCAGATTGGTTTAATGTTGAATGCAAGACGTAACCCGGTTCAGATTGAATTTAAAACTCATAACTAGCCATTTTTTTTTTGTTTTTCGGTCTAGTTTGGTTCAAGTATTTTGAGTTAAATCGAAACAAAACCGAATTTTATTTAGATTATTTCAGCTCGGTTTAAAATTTTTTTATTCGATTTCAATTTGAGTTTGGTTTAATAGATATATATATATAATATAAATAATTAATTTAATTATATATTAAATAAATTTAAATTTATTTAACTTTTGAAACATTTTGGTTAATATAGTTTGATTATCAAAAGTTGGCTTTGGTTTGAATCATTCTTTATCCAAATTTATATACCATTCAGATTATAGTGAAATTCGGTTTGAGTTATTTTGGTTTGGTTCGGTCTTTGTGTCCACTATAAAAATAATCAGAATATAGTCTAATATTATATTGTTGATCAATTATTGGATATAGACTAGCACCAGAACATCCACTTCCTACCGCGTACGAAGACTCATGGACCGCGATAAAGACTATCCAAGCCATAAACGAGCCGTGGATCAACGACTACGCCGACTTGGACCGTTTATTCCTAGTGGGAGATAGCGCGGGAGCTAACATCTCACACCACCTCGCATTTCGAGCCAAACAATCTGACCAAACCGTGAAAATCAAAGGCATTGGAATGATCCACCCATATTTTTGGGGAACACAACCTATTGGATCAGAGGTCAAAGATGAAGCGAGGAAAAAAATGGTTGACGGATGGTGGGAATTCGTCTGCCCGTCTGAGAAAGGATCCGATGACCCGTGGATTAATCCGTTTGCGGATGGGTCACCGGATCTTGAAGGGTTAGGGTGTGAGAGACTGATGATTACTGTGGCGGAGAAAGATATATTGAATGAGAGAGGGAAAATATATTATGAAAGATTGGTGAAGAGTAAGTGGAGAGGAAAAGTTGAGATTATGGAGACAAAAGAGAGAGATCATGTTTTTCATATTTTCGAGCCTGATTGTGATGAAGCTATGGAGATGGTACGACGCTTGGCTCTCTTTATAAACGAAGTGGAAGCTTGATATTAGTTTCGGATTCGTTTTGCCAAAGTTTAATGGTTTTTTCAATGTTTGTATAATTTTTAAATCTTTGTTAATGTTGTTGTTATTGTGTTTTCTCCAAATGTGTGTATTTTATATGTGGTTGAAACTTGAAAGAGAGCTTCTGTTTGTATGTCGTTTGTTTGTAAGCTCTTGGATTTATACACTCCCTTTTCTCCATATTCGTGCCAAGAACAAGCCAAAATTAGGATTTTCATTGTTGACTGTCTTTAAAACCCTCCTACTCAACTAGAGTGTTCGGAATTAATATCTTAGAAAATCACAATCTCTACTCTAAGCCATACTTCATGAAAAGTTCTACAATAGCACGGGTTATATTTTCAGAACTTTTACTGCATCTTATTACCCATCTACAGCTTTCAAAATCTAATTTTGTTCCACTCATAATGCATGTGTATGTGTATGTGTTTTCTTTTTAGCGACTTGGCCGATAAGCCCGGCGGCCCATCAGCCATTTATAGGAGGTAACATGGAATCTGAATTCCGGTAGAGAAGAGCGCAGTGGTTAAAAGAACTCTGAGTCAGCCAACAATTCTATATAAAAGCATGAGAACGTCTTATTAAAAGTTGATCAAATGAGAAGTTAGAAAACCACTTTGCAAAAAACTGGATTCTTCATCTAAACAAACGAAAGAACCTTTAGCCCCAATTTTGCTCTTTTGTTATTGATTTATATCATGCGTTTTGTGTCATCTCTCCACATTTCAACATAGCATCATATTTACTGGAAATCACACGCACAATTAACAAATAACAAATGACACATTATTTAATTATATAGCATATATAGATTGTGAATGTGAATATTTTATTAGAGAGGAGAATGTAAAATATATATAGAGATACAGAGGAGACTCTAAGTATATACAAAAGATAATTACACCCTTAATTACACATATAACATATATCATCTACATGCCCCCTCAAGCTGGAGGTAGTGAACGAACTCCAAGCTTGTTCCTCGACATTTGGTAGTGAGCACGGGGAAGAGATTTGGTGAGGGTATCAGCGAGCTGATCACGAGTAGAGACATGAGAGACACGTAGCATACCAGTTTGAACTTGCCCACGAATGAAATGATAGTCGATGGCGACATGTTTCATACGAGAATGAAAAACGGGATTGGCGCATAAGTAGATGGCTCCTACATTGTCGCAGTACACAACAGGAGAAGTCGGTAACTGAATTCCAAGTTCCGTGAGAAGAGAGCAGATCCATCGTAGTTCACAAGCAGTATTGGCAACAGCACGGTACTCCGCCTCCGTAGAAGACCGCGCTACACTTTTATGTTTCTTAGAGGACCATGAGATAGGATTGCTACCAATGTAGATGACGTAGGCATTGGTGGAAGCATAGTCATCCGAGTCACCGCCCCAATCAGCATCCGAGAAACCATGGAGAGTGAGTGGACGATTGGAGTGAAAGAAAATGCCATGAGTAAGCGTCCCGGAAAGGTAACGGAGGACCCTTTTTGCAGCTTGCCAGTGATCAGATGTGGGTTTATGCATGAAGAGCGAGAGACGGTTAACAGCGTAGGCAATGTCAGGCCTAGTAAATGCGAGATATTGCAAGCTACCAACAACCATCCTATATTCTGCCGCATTGTCAATCGGAGAACCCGAGTGAAGATGATATATGTTATATGTGTAATTAAGGGTGTAATTGTTTTTTTGTATATACCTAGAGTCTCCTCTGTATCCTCTATATATATTGTACATTCTCCTCTCTAATAAAGTATTCACATTCACAATCTATATGGTATTAGAGCAAACGATACTTAAAAAAAAAAAACAATTACACCCTTAATTACACATATAACATATATCATCTACAGCATATATGTTCACATATTAAAATAACGTACTATCATGCGTATGCTTTTCTTTCTTAAGCTAACTACATTTCAACAAAGCATGCCATTGCTATATATAGACGTCATAAACACGCAATAAACAAATAACCTGTTATTAAAACATAGCATACTATATATAGACAGTATACACACGCAATAAACAAATAACATGCTATTAAAACATAAAATTTGTCACCCGTTTTAAGCGTATGCATGTTATTTCTCACTATGACATGATATGCATTGACACAAAAGATGGATACCGAAGTGTATCGCCCATGACTTCTCATTTTAACACATTCTCCTCCCACTTCTTATTTTCCTAGTTCTCAAAAGTTCCTTCCTCATATTTGCAAATACTCGATTAGGAGGTTTGATACACCCTAGGCCTAGTTATGGTGGTCGGTAGAACTAATCTGTACTCTTTTTAATGTTTTCTTCGCCATAAAAAAAAAACTCGATATAATCCAAAAATCGGTTATATAATTACATAGTTGAATACGATAGATAACGAGATCATATATAATTATAAAAAGGCAAAGCATAGGCCATGGGCTAAAGAACCTAGCATGTATTGTACTTTCGGGGACAAGCCATAGTGGAAGATGATCCATCTTACGCATGAAAACCCCTGTTCCGCTTGATTTGAAAGTTTGATATTCATTTCTAATCTCATGTTAATTTTTTTGTAATATCAACAACCTTTTCCTATACCAACCATCTCTTTAATCGGTGCTTACCCCTAAATATCTAAAGGAAAATGATAGAATAATCATGAAAAAATAGTACGTATTTTGAATGTTTATATATAGGTAAATACTCTTAAAAATGATAGAAGGAATTAGCCAATTTTTTTAAATAATCATATGAATTACCATAAAAGCAAAGTAGGAAACTGAACCGAAAGTCATCGCTTCGAGCCAACAGAACGATGTAAAAAAATCTACATAGAATTATCCGAACTGAATCCGAATTGTACTAGGTTTTGTGCAACCGAACGAATTAGCCAAACAAATCAAATTCGTAAAACTACATATATAGGGAAGAAAAAAGTTCAATATAATAACAACAACTTTTTTTTTTGTGAAACCATTGCTAAAAAGGTATATTTTTTAATAATTATTTTTCCAAAACTGAACCGAACCAAACTGAAATAAATTTTGTTTTAGTTTGGAGTCTATTTTTCAAAACCCGAAAATCCAAGACCTTAAAAGATTTAAACCTTTGCCCAAAAAAAAAAAAAAAAAAAAAGATTTAAACCAAATGCCCATGCCTACTCACTTTTTATTATCATGTTTTTTATTTGTTGGTCTCTAAGGCCTCGCTTGCCTCCAAAACATCTCTTAATGCTCGTCTTGAATAAAAAATTCTGTTATGCATATTTAGATCCGGAGGGATCTTCGCACACCTTGGTCGTGAAAAAATATGATCTAAATAAATGCATGGGCCATGTATACAATACAGAGCAGACATGCAAAGTTGGAAACATATGGAAGTATGAATCACCTGGATTACATTATATACTCAGACATTATAAAACATCATCATTCCCTTTTTGAAGTAAAATTTTCCCCACATTTAAGATTTCATTTAAGACAATGCTAATCGATGCTACTTCTCTTTTTATTTTCTTTATAAATACCTAAAATCTCATTCTTCTTGTTTCCACCTTATGTTCTCCGATCCTATATCCAACACATATATTTTTGATCTTTGTTTTGTTTCACATATTCTTATATTTTATCTACCTGTCCTCGAGTCATGGGAATGTCGAACAGGTCAGTTTCTACATCTCTTTTTTTCCTCGCATTGGTGGTTTTGCATGGAATTCAGGACACAGAAGAGAGACATTTGAAAACTACTTCGTTAGAGGTTGAGGGAATTTATAAGAAAACTGAGGCCGAGAATCCTAGCATTGTGGTCACATATACACGACGTAGTGTCCTTCAAAAGGCGGTCATCGCACACCCCACAGATTTTAGGCCAACAAATCCTGGAAACAGCCCAGGCGTTGGACACTCTCACGGGCGACACTGATTTGATCATATCATACGTCATAAATCTATATCATATAGAAAATTATATGTATTTCATTTAGACTTGTCTTCTAATGCTAAAGAGGTGTTTGGACATCACTTTATCATTTCAATGTTTTGACAGTACTATGATCATTATGTCTTTGTCGTGGGTTTGTTACACTGTCAGGTATTGTAAGATTATATAATGAATAAATTGCTTTTAAAAATATATACATCAATGATAAATCCCTTGCTAAGCTGACTATAATTGCTAGTTGGTCAATGGGTTTTATTAAATGTAGACCTCACTGAAAACACTTAAATAGAAAATCTTTACTTATCACGTTTTAATGGTTAAATTATTTTTACATATGAATGCTTAGAAGATACAGAATAACAGAGTAAAAAAAATACAAACATGTTGTGGACTAAGTATATATATGCTCATTGGGATGAAGCCCTAGCTAGTCTTAATTGGTTCTCAATCTAAGTATTTTAGAGCATCTCTATCGGCAGAAACGTTGATGAGTTCTAAATAAAAAAAGTTAATGTTTTACTTATATAAGTTTATTTTAACTAGGTGAGTGCCCGCATTACGTGCGAGATTTTGATTTGATTGTTTTTTAAAACAACTAGTATAAAGTGATGAAATATTTTTAATTATGTTCCAAATTTTGAATCTTATTTGTTAATTTATAAGTAAGATTTTGGTCTAATTTATATATATATATATATATATATATGATTTATATCCAAATTTTGAATCTTATTTGTTAATTTGTAAGTAAGATTTTGGTCTAATTTTTATATATATATGTGATTTACTGCACTATATTGTTGCCTCTTTTGAGTGGTCCATTGTTAGTGTTTTAAGAATTTATCATTGATGTATATTCCTAATGTTATAATGATTTTTCTTTTGATTATTATTGTAATAAAATAACTTTATAATTCCCAATATTACTTGAAGGGAAACTCTCCTTCTTGTAATAAAACAATTCTTGTTTTCGTAACAACATTTTATTAAAAAAAATAAAAAGCAAATAGCAATAAATTAAAAATTATAATGGAAAACTGTTTGATTAGTTGTTGAGGACTATGACCATCCATTTTTAATTTGCCTTTGCCTTTCGTACTTCATTTTTAATTTTTTTCCCCACTTCAAATGACCGTTGAAATTGTTAACATCCTAAAGTACTCCATCTTGATGAGGCACCTAGTTTCTTCTTCTTCAGCAACTTTTGTAATTTAGTAAATCATATTGAGTTGTTATTGTCTATTACCCTATAACGCTCATAGGTAGATATGACTTCAAAATTGTTTATGGTGTAAATTTGTCCTACCATAAGGAGATCCTTTAATCGATGGATGCGTTGATAGTGTATTGAAGCTTATATTAGAGAATCGTGGATGTTTTGGGGGTAGTCAATGAGTTGTGAAAAGATGATTTATAAGTAAGTTATCATATGTTGACAAATTAAGCATAATGTACCTTTATATTTAGGAGAATGATATCTAGATTCATTAGCTCTTTGTTTCGTTTGAAATTGCGACCTTCCCACATTGGCATAAGACGAACATTTATATGTTGCATAGATGTTCCGATTGTAAGCTTGTCTAGAACTATGGATTCAAGTGGTCTTACAAGAGTTGTTATTTGTTTCGATGTCATAGTGATTGTAATTGATTATGATCTTGCAATCTGAAAAAGTAAACATATGATGTTACTTTACTCTTATGGAAAAATTAGTTGTAATCGTTGAGCTTTTGGAGTTTATAATCCCAAAAAATAATTTAGAAGAGATTGAAAAGTAAGACTTTCTTTCGCGGTTACTCTAACATAGGTCTAGCTTTATGGGTAGTTAATGTGTGTGTGACCACTATTTATATGGGAGCTAATTATATATTTACGTTATATAACATTCAAGTGGGTATGAGTAGAAGTTTGAAAGATTCTTTCATTTTTTAAATGGAAATTAATAATATGTGGTATATGAAATCCAAAACGTTACAGGTATATGCCATCCGGTAATCACCCGATTCAACTCGTAAAGATCATGAAAAGGTTCCGTTTTCTCAACTTTTGCAACGATAACAGATACACGTTATGCTCTTAAGGAAGTATGTTTAAGACATATCAATTTGGTTTTTAGAAAAATCCATATATTATAAATGAGTAATTCCTAAATGCATAATCGTGGATATGAGATTTAATGTGGATATTTTTTTTTTTTATTATATGATTAATTGTTGTTTATTTTCTCAGGTACACATGGCAAGCTATTAAGTGCTCACGTGTCAATCATATGGAAAGAGATAGGCTCTTATCCTCGCCAGAAGTTTCACATGAAAAAGGTCACTTATATAGCGGATAGAGTTATGCAATTCTTGATGTTTAAGCACGCTTCGGAGGATCACGCAAGATGCTTATAATAACTAGAGATAGCGATTTTGGTAGAGCACTGCAAATACTAAAAATGTGTAATGTGGATGTCTATTTATTCACCATTACAAATTTTAGTAAAGCACTTGAGAAAGAGTCACAAAAATCTTTTCCCCTTTACCGTATCTTAAGTACTTAATTTGATATGTTGTTTGTTTTGTTGTAAACGGTTTTTAATGATTTGTTGTAATCAGTGAATCAAGAAATTATTATATTTTTTTTAAAAAAAAGCTAAAAACAAGTTAAGGAAAATAATAAGCCGGTTGCACAAAAAAATATATATATAACCAAAAAGAAAAAGAAAATAAGAAAATCAGAAAAAGGAAAGTACAACCTTCGAGAGAATCTAAAAAACAAACACTCATAATAGCAACAAAACAAACAAAAGAACCAACGGTCAAGATCTAACTCTCTCCGTACAATCCAACGGTTTTCACTAAACTAGGTCAGAAATAAACCGTGACTAACACACACACAAAAACCCATAAACCCGACCCGTATTTGTGAGTTTCCCACTATAACCGGATAAAAAACCCCTAATTTTGACCTAAACTTTGCCATTAATAGATATCTCAAACACAACTCTCAAAACTTCCCCTGTTTGGTCCGAAACCGAAACTAACCCTAATCTCACATCACATCACACAACACCACATAGCCGCAAAATTTAATGGCAGACGTCAAGATTCAATCCGAATCTGAATCCTCGGATTCTCAGCCCTTGGTGGTCGACAATCAACCATCTCCTCCTCCTCCTCCACCGCCGCAACCACCGGTTGAAGAAGAAGAGAATCAACCAAAAACATCTCCGACTCCGCCGCCACACTGGATGCGTTATCCACCACCGGTGCTAATGCCTCCCCAGATGATGTACGCGCCGCCGCCACCTCATCCGTTCTCTCCTTATCATCAATATCCGAGTCACCACCTTCACCATCAATCTCGTGGTAATAACAACAATAAGCATCAAAACGCTTCTAATGGTGAGAATAAAACCATTTGGGTTGGTGATTTGCATCATTGGATGGATGAGACTTATCTTAATTCTTCTTTTGCTTCCGCTGACGGCGAGGTTTGCTTCTCTCTCTCTCTCTCTCTCTATCACTATTACACAACATTTATGTATCTCTTGATTAGTGTCTTAGATTGTGTATTAACTCTTTCTTGATTCTGTTTTCGTTGACTTTTAATGCTTTTGACCTTAAAAAGATGCCCTTTTCAGCATTTATCATATAAAGTTTGCTTTTTGTTATATGTGACTCGCTGACTCTGTTTCTTTGTGAATTTGGTCTAAATGTGTGTACTTTATGTTTAAATACTACAGATACAGATTGTTTCGGTGAAGGTGATCCGTAATAAGCACAATGGTTTATCAGAAGGATATGGATTTGTGGAGTTTGATTCCCATGATGTAGCTGATAAGGTTTTGCAGGAGTTTAATGGAACGACTATGCCTGATACTGAGCAACCTTTTCGTTTAAACTGGGCTAGTTTTAGTACCGGTGAGAAGCGGTTAGAGAATAATGGACCTGATCTCTCTATTTTCGTGGGGGATTTGGCTCCGGATGTTTCGGATACTTTGCTGCACGAAACGTTCTCTGAGAAGTATCCGTCGGTTAAAGCTGCGAAGGTTGTCATTGATGCTAATACTGGAAGATCAAAGGGGTATGGGTTTGTGAGGTTTGGTGATGAAAATGAAAGGACCAAAGCAATGACTGAGATGAATGGTGTTAAATGTTCTAGTAGAGCTATGCGTATCGGTCCTGCTACCCCGAGGAAGACTACTGGTTATCAACAACAAGGTAAGTTCTTTCCGGTGCATCAGCTTTGTATATAATCTATTAAGATAGTTAGGTTCTTGGTATTGCTGCAACAATATGTTTTGAGTCTCTTGTGTACTTGAATATTTGTTGGTCTTGGCAGGTGGATACATGCCGAATGGTGCCTTGACGCGTCCTGAAGGGGACACATTGAACACAACAGTAATTGTTTTTTCGTAGTATCTCCTTGTTTTCTACCGTTCATGTGATTGTGTGACAAGTGAAGGTTAATCTTCTTTTTTTTTTTCCCTTTAATCTATGTTTTATAACATAGATATTTGTTGGAGGACTTGACTCTAGTGTCACTGACGACGACCTAAGGCAACCTTTCTCTGAATTCGGGGAAATAGTCTCTGTCAAGATTCCTGTTGGCAAAGGATGCGGATTTGTTCAATTTGTTAACAGGTAAACATTAAATGCATATTTTTAAATAGTATGTATTAATAAAGTAATTTTCTTATCGTTGTTCTGTCATCATATCGATTTGATTTTCAACAATTGCTTGCAGACCAAGTGCAGAGGAGGCTTTGGAAAAACTCAATGGAACTGTAATTGGCAAACAAACAGTTCGGCTGTCTTGGGGCCGTAATCAAGCCAATAAGCAGGTAATCATACCATCTGTCTGCATAAGTGATTAATACTGTTACAAGTGTATCAAAATGCACAGTTCAATTCAGTTTTTCATCACAAGGCCATTGAACAAACCCAAAACTGTTCTCTATTATAGTAAAGAAAGATTGTTTTTGTGTTAGATATTAACTAAAATTATATTTATTATTGCATTACTAAACGTCTTTTTGATATGGATTCAATTCAAAAGATTGTTTTTACGAATTTCGGTTTATTTGGTTTGACGGCCATAAGTTTGATTTCAGTTCGATATCGTTTGGTTATGATTTTGGTTTAGGTTTATAAGACTACCTGTTATGGTTTAGATTGGACTATAAGTTTGGTTCGGTTGGGTTCTTACGCCCACCCTTGTGTACTTCTTTTATATGATCTATTTTATACTCTGACCCGTGATGAATCATTTCTGATTTACTAGTTTGGTGTTTATGTTGCAGCCTAGAGATAAGTATGGAAACCAATGGGTTGCGCCGTACTACGGAGGACAGTATTACAATGGGTATGGATACATGGTACCGCAACCTGACCCGAGAATGTATCCCGCTACACCTTACGGAGGAGGGTATCGAATGTACGGTGGTCATCAGCAACAAGTTAGCTGAGGAAACTAAAAGCTCAATCTGAGCATCTATCTATAGGACAACAAAAACTCACTCAGGTTAGGTGATGTTAGGAGGTACAAGGCAAAAATGGTTTGCTTCTTGTCACTCCTTGAGTTTAGGGTTTATCATCTAGTGGACATCGAATTTTGGTGGAAACCATACAGTAATTTAGGGGACTTGGATTTGATTGATTAATTTGATTTGTTTCTTCTGATGCTTTTGACTATTGAACTTATTGATCAAAGAAGAAATGAGTTGCACCTATTGATTATTATGTTTCTTATTTTTTCCTTTGTTTAACATGTCATTAGTTTAAATGTTTAACGTTGTGGAACTAAATCTAGAATAGGCCCATGACAACTAAGAATGATCGTTAAATTAGCTTTTCATATTCTTTATTTCAAAAGCCTCTTTGGACCGTCTCGGGAAGGCTTATTCCTCACCAACTTAGCTATATTTTATGGTACACACAGTATTAGAATAGCTAGAACATAGAAAGATGAGAACTTCCAATGGAAAAGTGAGGGATCTATATTACGACAATCCCTTAGTATGACCGCATAATATTAATACAATGTCGTCGTTAATCACATCCAAAAATCAATAATGATTCTACGTAAAAGCCTTTATATCTATTAGAACATAATGATGTATAAAAGTTTTATACTTTGAAGAAGGAGAGATCCGAAAGCCTGAAACAATGAGAAATAGAGACTTTTGAGAACAGAAAAGGAAACATTCTGTACATTGATGTTTATACTTAGGGCATGATTGGTTCAGGCTATACCTTTAGATTTTTGAATGTAGATTTTAGGTTGTACATGTTTTGGCTGTGACTGTAAGTTAGAAATTGTCTGCTTTAGTAAAATAGGCTTTCTACAAAAAAAAAAAAAAATGAATTATAGAAATATTTTGGCTGTGAGAAAAAAAAAAACCAAAACTTCTATAGCTTGATTGGATCTATTTTAATGCTTTAGAAATTTTTTTGCTTTGTAAAAACTGTAAAGCACTTGCCAATCAGCTTAACTTTTTTTCATACAAAGAGTATTTATGGATATAACAAAGATAAATTTTAAAACCGATATTTAATTTCTAAGGAAAACTAATAGGATTAAAGAAAAGATATATGATATATCTAAAATAAAACAAGGTATGATTTGTTTCAATCCCTAAAGCTTCTAAAAGTGTAAGGGTTTACTTCTATGAGATACACAAACTTTAAAGCTGGCTGATTCCACATAGTTTTGACTCTTCGTCTTCGAAAACCTAAAAATCTCCTCAACAATGTCTTCATTCTCTTATATAAGTTTAAGAGACCTTAATTTGTTAATTGTTATTAACGTGGAATTATAAAATATGAAACGAAGTAAAAATTCTAAAAGCTTATAAATGCAAAAATAGGTGTTCAAAGTCTAGCTAACATGTTAATAATGAAGAAAATTAAACAATGATGATTCATTATATAAAAATTTTAGAAACACATTATGTGTACTTGTTTAGAATTCAAAACTTAATAACATGCCCAAATAATTTAGTAACTAACTAAATAACGCGCCAAAATAACAAAATAGCAAAACTAAATAACCCGCCAAATTTTTTAAATTTGATAAGTCGAAAAATTTAATGACTTGAAATTTTTAAATTCTAAATTCATTACCTAAAAACACAAGATTAATTTTCCTATGTTTGACTTATAATTTTTTTATACATAAGAGTCTTTGAATAAAAAAAATTCATTGAATCCAAAAATATAAGAAATGTGAATTTGTTTATATATTCTTCTATAAATTCTCTCCTCTATCTCTCTTTTTTTTTTTTTTTTTTTTTTTTTTTTGGAAACATGTTATGCAGTTTGATGGCAATTGCAGCTCGAGTCATGTACAAAACAAGACTTGGATCTGATGAAGCGACTTTGCGATATTCCCTAAATGATATAGTAAATTTAATTAATATTAACAAAAATTATAAATGACATAGATACGTGTTGGAAAGTTAACATGAGAAAATTGATGATGACAAAAAAAGAATTGATAAAGCTTAACATTGATGTTGTATCCAATAAAATATTTGGAATAAGGTGTACTTTTTAAAAAAGGTTGGAAAGTTAAGAATGCGCCAAATATTTTAGCTACAAACACATAATAACGTGCCAAAATAACTAAGTAACAAACACATAACAACGTGCCAAAATAACTAAGTAATAAACACATAAAGACTTGCCAAAATTAGCATTAAATAGGAAAAATAGTAAGAAAATGCCTAAATTTTTAATATTATTAGACAATTCAATTGATCGATTATTAAAGACCTATTGATAAATTTTTAATATTATTAGTTTGTTTCTTTTTAGTTCAAAATTTTGATATAATTCTATTGATAATTTTTGTTGGCATTATTATGTTTTATGCATTTATACGGACATCGAGAAAGATAATGCCGGATGAAGTCAGAAAATTTCCAAGAGAGAGATTATATCCATAAAATGTTTGCATGTAGCCTTCGAAAATAGAAATATTAGTTTGCACCATGATCGACAGCGTCACGGTGGAACAGCCAACTCCCGCAACAGCTCTAATTAAAAAGATCGACATCACTTACGCAACCGCCTCTCAACGGTATCAAAACAGAGCAATGTTAAGCTCGATGAAGCTCTACAAGAGTGGTTCGCTAAGAGAGGATTCTAAGAGATCCACTAGAAAAAAGGCTCAGTTACATCAATTAATTTGTGTCAAAAAATAATTAAATAGTACTAATTTGAATTACTTATTTATAATTGATAGAAATGTTATAATTTAACATCAGTTGCAATAATCGTTGTCATTATTGATATATGTGGCATCAGTTCATTAAAATTGATACAAATCTAGATCTATTTGCATCACTTTGACAATATTAATACAAACATATGAATTTACATCATTTAAATCAATAACAACGATGCTAATGAAAGATTAATTAAGCATCAGTTGTAAAAAGCAATGTAATTATTTACTTAATTTGTCAACTTCCCACATTGTTCCCATTCAAAAAGAGGCTTCACAGTTTTCTTATATATAGTGACATTGGTTTTTATGGTATCAACAAAGTGTAAAAGTGTAAAAATTAATAAGTAACTAGAAAGGATTTCTGTAATACCACATCTGTTTTAAAAGTCAAAGCTTAAGATTAAGAATGTTTAGAACAAAGATGCATATAATGTAACAAGATTTTTTGGATGAATAAAATTTTACATTCATACGTAAAAAAAAATGGAATCTTTTTTTTTTTTTGGACAAAGATTTGTTTTCATTCCATTAGAGTAGAAGCCAAATACAGAGATAGAAGGAATATGAGATCCCATAGTTTTAAGCACATAAATAAGGGGTCAAAGTTTTTTGAGCCAAAAGCTAAAAAGCTTTTTGGTACATGTGAGGTCAAAGTTTATCGACAATTCTTCCAAGAGCGAGTCAATGGATGAACAAATTGCCACTGTCAAAAGACGAGATGGCGTTGGTGAAGGGGTCAAAGACTTGAATCTCGCCGGCACAAGAAGAACTACACGAAGTAGTGCTTTGACATAGGTTCGAGCAAGGGTGAAGGTGCTCTGGTGTTTGAAGTTTCTTGCTAGAATTGTTGTGGAGTGAGAGTTGAGCTTAGACAAAACATAGCTAAAGGAGGTGGTATTGAAAACATATAACTTGAAGACGTCAAAACGGCTTGATGACGAGTGGTCATTGGAAAAGCTTCCAAAACCACCATCAAAGGTCCCGCGGGGAGGGTTCAAGAGCATTAGACCATGGTCCTTCAAGCAAAGAAACTCATACCTCAAGATACTAGAGGAAGCTAAAACCAGGGTTCGCAAAATATGAGTGTAAAGCCGTAACAGAATAGGTGGATCCTCTCTCACATGGGCTATTCTATAACACCCTGGTTTCAGGAATATGGTGGTGCATGCGGAAAGGTTTAAAAGAATTGATTTGGCCACCTATGTCACCAAAGTGCACTTATCTTTTCGGTCAACTGTCCTGAAAGAATTCCACAGTTAAGCGTGCTTAGGCTGGAGTAGTTTCAGGATGGGTGACCTTCCGGGAAGTGATTGTCGGAACTGTGTGAGTGAGGACAAAGCACAGGGAAAGATCATGTGGTGATTTGTAGGGTCGGTAAACAAGTCTTTAAAGCCTCTCGGACGTAGCGGACCGGCCGTCGGACAGGGGTGGGCCCATGGGCCCGAGAGAGGACGTGGGGCTCACTGGTAGGGTCGGTCGGGGCGTTACATATTCCATGGAGATTAAGAATTCCACACAAAGTTGGTAGTCGGCTTGACACATAAAGAAAGTAACCAGACCTGAGCTTCAAAGCATTGAGCGTATGGAAGTAATCCCTAAAGTTGATAATTTGTACATGAATGAGCTCGATAAACAGGGGATAAAAAAAGGAATCATGTTGCCAATATTCTGAACAAGCCAAGGCCGTAAAACTAATCTATGAAAGGGTTTCAACATCATAAATGTAGTATTAGTATGTTAATGAATCAAATATAGTGGCTTAGGTATTTTCAGATTAATCCCAACATGGACATGGAGAAGAAAATGTAGACATACATGACTTCTATAAACCAATTTCTTTGAGGAGGAATTAACGAAACTCAAGTAAAAAATAAATTCAAGCCATCATATTCGAAAAGGAACGAGAACGGATCATGCCAAGATGAGTATGTGAAAAAGAAAAACGTTTTTATTTTGAAGAGTGGGTGTTACATGTGCAAAAGTCCACACTGAAGAACTGAAAATAGCATATACGATTGTAATTGTAGAGCAGAAAGAATTCTGAATTTTTGATTGTAAATTATCAACGCTTCTGTAAACTAATCCACAACTAAAGGTATAACAAATAAAAGTTTGATTAGGTTTATACCAACATGTAAGCAACCAATGCATTGGTGGATATGAGAACTACACATAACTTCATGAATGATATAAAAAACCAAGAAACTTGATCTAGTATTGTGGACAACAGGTGATAGATTGCTAAAAAGAGGTGAACACCAAAGCCTGACCATTCAACCGAGTAGCATATGAGGGAATAGCCACTTCAAAATCATGTTCGATTTGAAATTTATGAGGCAAGTCGCAGCTATCATATGTTTTTACCACACTCGCGGTGTAAATCTTTGGTAATTTCTCGTCATACATGATTCTTACCGTAGAGATCAGAAATGAGAAAAATGGAAGTACGGAAGAGAGTGTCGACCATGTAATCACACAAAAATTGACTTTCAATTAAAAATCAAAGGCTAAGGCAAATCCTGATGAAGTAAGTGATCTGCCTGCCACTCATGAGAACAATATTTGAAAAAATTGTGACACATATACTAGACTTTCACAATTGACACTTTGAAGAGTTCTGAAGTTGCAAGTTTTTTACATTCAAAACACTAATATAATCATTAATAAAGAACTCAAAATGTTTCAAACTATTTACTCTAAAATAGTAGTAATGCGTAATTACATACCATCTTATCCTTCATAAATTTTATGCATCTATTTAATTGTTGACCCACTTCAAGCAAAGATCCGCTTTGACAGGCTTATGATCGGAACCATATACTTGGTCTATGGAATCATAAGAGTGAAGAGTTGCTTGAATATTATCAGTATTTTGGATCTTGAATAAGATCCTATCTGTCCAAGCTGGAACCCTGATCTTATGGCTTGTATCATAGTCGCTGCTTCCTACATTGTATTTGTAGGTTGGTTTAAATCCTAAAGTTCCTTCAGAGTAACCTTTGAATATTTCGCCTCTCTCCGCTTCTTGCAAGAGTTGATCTTTGCTCACAAGAACCTGCACAAAGTAATGAATCCCAGTAAGATTAAGAGTGATTAGCAAACTGAACCGAGTACCTCAATTATTTAAAATAGAACAAAACAAAATTTTATTTTAATAACGAATGGTAATAGCATATTTTACTAAATCAAAACCAATATTTATGCAACCAAAAAAAAAGAACTGAATAAAAAATATTCTAAGAAAACTATTGTCTTAAGTCGCTAAAATATTTTATAAAAAAAAAACTAAAATGTTTTATAAAAAAAAGAACTGAATAGAGTATACTCACTCCATTATAAAATGTTTTAGCGACTTATTTTTGTCTCATATTATTAATCAGTTAGAAAAAAAATAGATAGATTTGAAAAAAGCAAAACAGAGTAAGTAATATTTATTGAATTTATTTATTTTATTTCTAATCATATTATTTAATAAAAAATTTATTTATTTTTTTCTTTTTCTATCGTTGTTATTTTTATATACCCGAACCAAAAAAGGTCAATGTCTATCCATAAGTATCAAGATAAATAGATAATGTTTGCATTTTATGGAATTGGAGAAGAAGAAGAGTAAATGACTTACAGATTGAAGATGGTTGTGGATAAGAGATCGAACAGGACGGTTAGAGACATCTTGGATCCTGTAGTTTAGATCTCCAAGCCAAACAGTGAGGTCACGTTTCTTTTTGTCTCTATGTAATAGTGAATTTGCTATGTGTCTTAACTCTGTATTTCTTTGGTCCACTTTCTTTGCATGAGCTACATAATTATAACAATAATTATTTATAATTGTAATTAATTTTATTTTAGCATAAAAGAGTAGAAATTAGACAAAAAAAAGTAGGTACCAGAGAGATGGCAAGAGATGAAAACCATTTTGATGTCATCATAGTTAATACGAATAGCCACGGCTCCTTTTTTTCTTCCTATTAAACCTCCACATCCTCCTACTGAATGTCTCTCCGCCTTTAATTCTGTAATCGTACAATAATCAAATTATTTTTTAGTTTCCAATATTATAATTCTTTTGTTTCAAATTAAGTGTTGTAAAATTTTAATATAAATATTTGCATGAATACAAAATATAAACTTAGATCCAAATTAGGAAAAAGTATAAATATATCAAATTTTCATAAAACAATTGACCAATGTTCAAATAAAATGGAGCAAACAAAAAATTATAAGAATAACCTTTTACTAATGTATGTGAATTCTTTGGGCCAAACAAATATAACTGGATCGATTGCAATTTCGCCTTTCCAAGAAGCCTGGATTTCAATTCAATATGGAACTTTAATTTGCAATAGTTATGGATATAAATAGAAATAGAAAGAAATAGTAGAGTATACTTACTCGTGAGTTGGAGATGAAGCTGTTTGCAAAAATTGAGCAACATTAGTTTTGGGAGCCTCTTGCAAGCCAACGACAAGCAAATCGAACTTCCTTTCTTTTCCAACAAGCTCAACTAAATCCTCATACGAAACCTTCACATGTATTAGTACATTTAGTAACAATTAATAATAAATCGTACGTAGTTGATTATGAAGGAAGATTTGTCTTATGGAAGAATGAATATGCATGCGGTACCTACGTACGTACCTTTCCATTCATGTTCCAAGTGATGATACGGATGCAAAGATCTGCTTTTCTAGAAAAACTGCAACTTTTAATAGCTTCAATTGTTTTAATACCATCGTGAGATGATGAGTTTTTTGCAAACGAACCTATCGGAGACTTCTTGTAGTTCGAAAACCTATTGATACACAGCAACACGTCATTAACTACTTATCCACTTGAAGTTACATGTCTATATACAACAAATTTATTAGTGTATATATATAGAAAACAATGTAAGAGGCAAGATTCGTATGATACTAATTGTTACCTTTTTAGCCCACACATCGAATTCGTATTCCCCATTGTCTGCATGCAGTGTTTCTCCTTAAAAGGCAAGATTCTAAAGATTTTTGTTAGAGAGCGAAAATTTATCGAGGAGAAGTGTACAAATTTAAAGAGAAATGATGTAATGAGAATCTAAAAGAAAATTTACAAAGTCATCTTCAATCATCATCTATATATTGATAGGGGTAATTAATTAGGCACATGCAATGTTACGTGGTTTTCTAGGAAGTTAGGTGAATGGTGTTGACTACAAAGACGTGTACGTCTTCGAATGGACGGTCGAATTTGATAATGACTTTGCCGGGTTTTTCTTCATCAGGAAATCTCTAGAGGAATAAGAAAAAGTACAGTAGAATCTTTGATTTTTATTAAAAATCCAATGTTTATATTACAGTAAATAATGGCGGATAATCGATACACTTATATCCACATCATCATATCACATGTGATGTAATGTTAAACAATTTTGTCTTTGCTTATAGTTATGCTAAACTAATTTAAACAAAAAAAATCATTCCTCTGCTATTATACAGAGAAATGAGCTTCAGATTTAATGTAAAACAAATTATATAAATTTTCAAAACAGGTAGAACTGAATCTAGCTAACCGATATTTTTTTGAAATAAGCTAAACTAATTTCAATTTTTATTCCTTAGCAATCTAGCTTAGCTTAACTGAAAAAATTAAGGAAAACAGAAATAAATGAATGTAACAAAACCAATGATTAATATTCACACCCATAATTATGTATATACATTTGTTTAACCTCTAGAAAATAGAAATTAATCATTCATAGATTAATTAAAAAAATATTAGTTTGTCTCTGGTTTGATTTTATGTAAAAAATAATTAATAGTTATATAAACTTACACATATAAATCTAATGATAATTTTTGGACATGCATTCATTAGGATAATCCAAATGTTATATAAATCAACTGTACTGGGATAACTCAGATCATTAATTATAAAGTTAAATAGTTTTTGTTGGTTTTGAATTCGTCTACAAAAATGGATCGGTTCAGTTAAAATTTTATTTTAGTGTTGGATTTCAATTCTATTAGAATCCATAATTGAATAACACTCTCTTTTGTATGCTACTTAAGTGGTCTGAGGCCACTCTTCTTCAACTACAACATGTGAGATCAACCTCATCAAGTGGTCGGTGATGACATTTCATGATTTAGCCGTTAAACTAATTAACTATCTTCCAGTTTCATTTGTTTGTTTTTCAACTACGGTTTCTTTAACTCACCCCAGACATTATAACCAAATATTATACATATAAGAGTTCTATGCAGAAACGTTAAATCCAGCACATACCTTAATCCGGTTTTGCAATGAATTTTGGCTCGAATTTGATTTAGAATTGGACGTAAAGACCAGGAAAGAGATCACATACAAAATCAATCACTTTTCACCGTTCAAGACCCCTTTCGGTTAACTTTTACAAGCTTAATTACTCACTCTAAACGTTTTACTCTTTATAGAATTATTTATATTGATCAAGTATCTATGCTTTAACTTCTCTTTAGCATTATCCCTTTTATAGGCCGCAGCAAGAGAAGCTCTAGAGAGAAATGAGTGGTTCTAGTGAAGTTATTGGTAATAAACATCTCAGAACTGTCGGTTAACTAAATTGGTTTGGTATGCTACAAAATAACAAGCGAAAACCATCTGTAACCCATAGTTACATAAGTTACTTTTACCAAATTATTGATTTTAGATTTATTATGTCGTGTCTGGTGAACTTCTAAAGGTCGAAATTACTTAATAAAATGTTCTTATCCACTAGTCTTGGAGGTTCAACAAACTAATTCACGTCCACATATTACATATAAATAAATAAAATGTTCTTGTCCACAAATTTGTATTGCTGTTGGATGTTGAAGTTCATGGTTCAAGTGGCTCATTAAAGTGTTTCTTTTCTTGTTAATTAGTTATATTTATTATTTTGGTGATTTTCTTTTTCCATACTAAAATAAGAATATGACAAGTGGACTTTTTGCAATAATGTAGGTTCCATGTGCAAATTTCCTTGTGAACTTGCATGCTCTGGAGGCTATCTTCAACGGGATCATGTTAGAACGCAAACTTAAGCCTTTTCAAAATTCAAGGCTTTGGGAGATCCATGCTACTCAGCCAAATAAAATACACTCGTACAGGAAGATGTTTTCATCATCATGCCGACATGCACCAAACTAGCTTAGCATGTGTGGCAGATCAGTTGTCATGTTCAAAAGCGATTGATGTTACTGTCATGACTTACATACCAGAATATCTTTATCTCTTAGAGTCTTATGTATTAGGAAATTCATTTCTATTTTTCCGACGTGGAATAATTTTTTCACATTATCTCTCGAGATAGGGGTTCTACTAGCCATTAACCTCGATAGAATTTCATCGTATTCTTCTCAAATAATGTTTTCTATATCGGACCGGATTCAGACAGCGGCGTGTTCAAACTCTAATACCATAAATTATCAAAGATTGCATGTAATTAAAATCCTCAGAAATGGAAAATTCGTAGGGTATCACGAATGCAAAAGCAAAATAAGAAAATCATGAAAGGATTCATGAATGAAAAAGTAAAACAAATCATTAGAGAAATATTTTATTCTAGGATCATAAGTTCATAACACAAGAATAGAATAATCCTCTTTGAGGCATTAATCCCTATATATGCTTAAAACTTTAATTTTAAGTTTGGTATGTTCACTATAACTCGAACATAAAAACTCTTATTGGTTAGGGAAGTATTGATCATCTAGCGTATATTAATACTCTAGGTAGCACAAGTTAATGTAGCTATTTCAACAATTTTATTTACCCGATTACTGATTTAACTATTTCAGCATCTCGTCAGTCATACACAAACTGATTAGTATCAAACAAATTTGCCTTTTTTTTTGTGGTCGGTTTGTTATCCCAGTGTGCATCACGAATTTCTAAAGGCCCTTAGATATAGTCAACTAGTTGTTAGATTTAAAAAGAAAATTTAATCTATATTACTTAGACTTTATCTTTAACCAATGTGTAGGGCTGTCACTAGGAATTCAAGTTAGAGTTCTCTATCTTTTTTTTTTTTTCATCTTTAAAATATATATTGATCAAGAGGAGATACAACATTTGAGCAACATGTGCTGATATCAAATCAGAATACATCTACTTCAAGCTATACAAAAGAATGGCTATTCTAAAAGTCAAACAGACCTCAGCAAACAAAAAAGCCAATAGAAAATACTAAACAGAGGAACATCCCATCTCACTAACAAAGAGAACATGTAGCCAATCCGGATGACCGGTAGCTACATAAGACTGAGCCAAGTTGTACTTCGTCACACTTTGGGCAATGAGATAGGGTCCTCTGTTCATAGATCTCGATTCTAACACTACCACCCACTCCAAAAAACCTTCAACGCATTCTCCAACTCTGAGACCTGTATTCTAAAAGAAGGCCATGCTTTAGGCCTGTTAATAGCACTCACCAGCGAGGGGTCTTCAAAAGCAAAGACAATCCTGGTGAATCTATGGCTAAACATACTATTAGCAGCCCACAAAAAACACTTCAGATAAGCATCATCCCAGGAGCTTATATTGCTGAACATCCTTCTACTATGAAGCTTAACTCTACCATGAGAATCTCTTACAACCCACGAAGCACCCACCACATTCTTTCTTTTTAACCAAGCCACTCCAATATTACACTTGTCCCACAAAGAATTAGGAGGTTTCCAAACCTTTTTAACCAATCTTCTCTCATTCTCATGGAGCTGATCAATCTCTTTCTCAGCAGATTGAGAAAACAGCCACTGAGAGGCATCACCTTTGATTTTGTTGATGGTATCCACCGCCAAAACTGCTTGCCCTCAATGGTAAACTTGTTCCTGTTTTTCCACAACACCCACAAAATCCAAGGAAAGGGTTGAGATATTTCAACAGGAACCTGAGGATCATTCCCAATGGAAAGAACATATTGGAAGTTTGCAAAGATTGAAGACTGGCTGAAACCCGAGGCAGGTGAAGGGAAGAGAGACAGGGCCCAAACTTGTCTTGCAATAGCACAAGTGAAGAGAACATGATTGATAGATTCAAACTCTTCACCACAAAACTGGCATCTCTGATCAAGCCTCATTCCTCTTGTAGCAAGCCTTTCTCCCATAACTAAGGCTCCACTTAGCGCTTTCCACAGAAAAGTCTTTATCTTTGGGGCAGTCTGTAAACCCCACACCTTGATCTTGAGCCCATTCAAAGAAGGCTGCAAAGTAGCCTCACAAATTAAGTCCTTCTTTTGAGTAGCAAAAGCCACCGCATAACCCGACTTAACAGAGTAATCCCCAGATTTATAATGTTTCCATATCCAGAAGTCATCATGATCCACCACATGCTTATTGGCCATGATGCGCTGAATATCTTGGGGGAGAAACAAATCATCAAGAAGCTCCACATCCTAACCTCTGTTAGGAAGATCAATAAGGTCACTCACCTTGAGACAAATGTTCCTTAGGCTCTGTTTGAGGTATGGAGGTCTCATTTCATCCTCATCACAAACCCACGGATCCATCCAGACATTAAGAGACTTCCCATTGCCAACTCCTCTCCTCAAACCCTTCTCAAGAAGCTCTTTACCATATAAAATGCTTCTCCAAGCAAAGGATGGTCGATCCCCTGTAACAGATTTTAAGAAGTCAGAATCTTCAAAGTATCTACTTTTGAGCACCTTGGACAAAAGGCAGTCAGGAAACTGCATGAGTCTCCATGCTTGTTTAGCAAGAAGAGCTTGGTTGAAACATTGAATATCTCTGAAACCTAAACCCCCATGTTCTTTAGATAAGCAAAGTTTTTCCCAACTTATCCAATGGATCTTCCTTTTATGCTCAAAAGCATTCCACCAAAAGTCCGCCATAGCACTTGTCAGAGATTTACAAGTAGAAACATGGAGTTTAAAACATGACATTGCATAAACTGGCATCGCCATTGCCACTGCTTTTAACAGAACTTCCTTACCACCCTGGGATAGACTCCTTGCAAACCAGCCTGACAACTTAGACTTAAGTCTCTCATGAATGTAGTCAAGCATCTCAATCTTAGATCCACTAAAACATTCAGGTAAACCCAAGTAAGTCCCAGCACCACACTGAATAAGTGACAGTAGTGACACAGCTCATAATCCATCCAACCCACTTAGCATGAAACCCCAAGGCCAAAAGAAGTGACTGCAAATACGACCATTCAACTCTATCATATGCCTTGGACATATCCGTCTTCACCGCCATAAACTCCTTGGAAATTATAGGATGAGTGCCAAGAGCATGAACCAGTTCATGTGCCACCATAATGTTGTCAGAAATCAACCTTTCAGAAACAAAAGCAGATTGTGTAGTAGACACTAAATCTGGTAAAAAAGGCTGCAATCTCTTAACCATGATTTTGGCAATGATTTTATAGAGAACAGAGCACAGGCTTATGGGTCTCAAGTCAGACATGTGTACTGAATCAATAATCTTTGGGATCAAGCAAAGCTGGGTGTAGTTCCACTCTTTAGGAAAAACACCATTTTCAAAAAAATCTTGAACCTCAGAGGTAACTGTCTCCCCTATGATACCCCAATAGTGTTGGAAAAAGAGACCAGTCATTCCATCAGCTCCCGGAGCACTAGCAGGTTTAATGGAGAAAACAGCCTCTTTAATCTCATATTTGCTCACAGTCTTAATCAAGACAGCATTCATACCAACAGATACACTAGGAGTAAAATCTTCAAATAACTCCTCGAAGTTACCTGGATCAGAAGTTTTAAATAACTCAGAGAAATAAGCAGCAGCAACCTCGCCCTTTGCCGCCTCAGACCTCTGAACCACACCATTAGCATCTACCAATTTAGATAAACCTTTCCTTGATCTATTGGCTTTGACAGAATTGTGGAAGTACTTGGTGTTACTATCTCCATCCTTCAGCCATTTATGACTGCATTTTTGACTCCAGAAAGACTCCTCGTCCTTATAAGCCAGGGCTAATTCTCTCTTAAGAACGAAGACTTTATGAGAGCAAGGCGGGTGGGCAGATTGCTCTAACTCCAGAGAAGCTTCAAGCTGGCCAATCTTATCTAAAGAATTGGTTTGATTTGCTTTTTTCCATTTACTTAGAGCTTTGCGATAGCCTCTAAGACTATCTGAGACACTACTGCCCACGTTACCATCATTGACCCTCCACGCCAACCTGATAGACTCTTTTACATTGGGTTTAAACAAAAACCTTTTATCAAACCTAAACCGACCTCTGTAAGCTTCTTTGGATGCTAACAAACTTACCAGAACCGGTCTATGATCAGAACCCCTTTTATCCAGAAAAAACTGATTTGAAGCTGGAAAAAACTTGTACCACTCTTTATTCCCAAAGCTTCTATCAAGTTTACATTGAATCCACATAGTGCTCTCATGCCTCCCCAAGTAAAACTGTTACCTTTGCTTTTTAACTCTGTCATCCCACACACTGCAAGCATATCAAC